TGCTGAGATGAGGGGGCCTGCAGGTAACACGGTTAATTGGAAACGCTGATTTGAATTGAATATACGTGTAAAGAATCATCATTAATTTCCTCATGGACATATCTATGATTTAAGGGGAAGATTTTTAATAGGATTAGTATTTCACTTTAATTTCAAAGGGGAAGTTTCCCACCCAGAAGACAGGGCACTAAATCACACCAGTATTGCTCCTTAATGTATCAGAACACAGGATGAGGTGTGGAAGCTGAACAGCAGCCTTTCGAGAGGCTGGGTGTTTCTGCTGTATTTTGTGATAGTGAAGTTATTTATATAGAAGCCTTAGTAGATGCCAAAGAGCCCAGGATCCAGCGATCCTTATAGCTTCACAATAGTGGAATAAATTTATGAAATATGCCTTTTGACTCTCTTTTCTCATTTTGTTATCATGGCATTCTGTAGTCATAAGATTTCCCTCTCTCTCTCTGTCTCTCTCTCTCCCCCCGCTCCCTCCCCCCCGCCCCAGTTATGGGATCTAGGGATCCCTTCACTTTCTTCAGCTATATCAGAAATCATTACAGCTAAAAACATGCAGGTGTTTCAGCACCATAACATTTCTGGGGGCACGTACCCAAAGGATCTGGCTAATGAGGTTGGGGATTTTATTGTATATCGTACTGGACTGCAACTTCTGGAAGAGGGTATGTTTATAGCTTGGCTCATTTGTTTGCACCATCTACACACTGATGCCTGAACTGTGTAGCCTGCAAAGAACTCTGGTGGGTGGGTGAGGCAGGAGCTGAGATAACACCCTCGAAAAGGTCTGAATTAAGTAGGGGTGTCACCTGCCCAGATAAACAGCAGCTTGACAGAAGCAGCTTGCCAGGTGGGACAGAGCTGCTAAGCTAGCTTCACAGCAGCTGCATTACCCTTCCTTCTTGGGAGAAAGAGGTGGCTTAAGAATCCTGGTATATTAGGGAGCAACAAGCCATGACCCCAGATTCACATTTCATGAAAAGCCAAACTGAACTGCAAATTCTTGCTTGGTTTCTCCTGCTTACACCAAATGAGCAGCAAAGTTAGAGCAATGGGGTCATGTCCACGAGCGTGTTGCTGGTGAACAATAAGCCATGATAAGCCAGCAACGTAGGCCAGGGTGGAACCAATGTTGCTGGCCTTTCAGCCCTTGCTCATTTTGAAATATAGTCCCCATTTTTCATGATCAGTTTTCAGGCCTACCCTTCTGGTTGGGCTAAAACAGTTAGTGGGGCAGGGGTCTCCTGGAGTGAGGGGCACAGAAGGTACTGGATGCAGTTCTTCAAAATGCCAGATTGGATATTCCCTTTCTGTATGTCTGAAGACATGGGAAATGTAGCCATGGTTCTCTGGGAATTAAGAGGAATAAACCTTGCTGCCTTCGTGATATGAAGCTCAGTGTGCAGGCACTTATACAGCTATTTTTCCGGCACCTAACAGTTTGTCATGAAATTCTGTCTCTCTGAAGAATTCATAATGAAAAAAGACAGGTAATTTAATCATGGAAAGTTCCCACAAAGAGTTTTTAACGCCCTTTAATGAGAGCCTGCGGAGAGGAACTGGAAGGAGATGCCGACCCATCATAGCTTAGTTACAATGACAGTTGTGATGGTGAGTAAAATACTGAGAAGAATCAGTACAATAGGCGAGTGGGGGCCTCTGTGTTGTGTCAGAGACTTGAATGGATCAGACACTATCACCAGGGGTGCTATGCTGCAACATATACATGGCACAATATGGCATTTTACTAATCTCTTAAGATAATGCAGAGCTTATGCCTGCAGTCTACATTGTAGGAGCATTAGCGAGACAAATCTCCACCTTGCCTTTAAAGAACTGAAATTTCCAAATTGGAATGCATTCTGCTTGGTCACATGCAAATGTTTTGCTGGCCTTGAATGCTCTGAGCTGGTGCTAATATTTGGATTTGCAGATTATGCTGTTAGGCTCCTTTCAACCAGTATTTGCAAACACACATCAGCATTGATTGAGAAAACAAGCTTCTTCCATCCCAGGAGACTCCTCAGCATCACAGCTGAGTCCTAGTGTAGGCTTCTTCTCCACCCTCTGTTTCATGAACTCTTCTGTGAGTTTCGACCTGCAGATATGCCTTTTCCCATGGAATTTCTGAGATTCAGCTGGTCACTTATTAATTAGCTCTAGCTCTTTCAGAATCTGCATGGCCCCAATAAATGATTAATGGAGACCTTTGGGGAAAAGGTTTTAAAACTGTATTGCTATGAAAGTGAGTTAATGTAGACAAAAAGAGAAGGTACCTGTCTCAAGATGCCACTGTGCAACAGTTGTCCATCTGAAGCCGAAGTGGTCACGCTGTGGCCCTCCAGATGTTTTTGGACTCCATGCCATCAGCCCCTGAAAGAATGTGGGCAGGGATGATCGGAGTTGGAATCCAGCAACATCTAACGCATCTAAGGCCTCCTTCAAAATGTAAGAAGGGCTTATGGCTCTAGAAACCCTAAATAATGCATAGCTTCCACACTGGCATTTTAAAAAACTGCACATTCTAGTTTGGATCAATGGAAACCATGTAAATGCTTGCAATTGCTTTAGGAAGCATGCTTTGTTAACAAACATGTGAGGGGGACAGCAGGAATGAGCATGCTGGTTCTGCCACCTCTATTCCTGTTACAAGGTGTCACTCTAAAGCCATGGATGTACCAGCTACATTTTAGAACCTTAATAATGCAGGGTTGTAAAATGCACGGGGAGCCTTCAAAGCTCTCCTCAGATTGTCACCTTCTGTGACTTAGATGGTGACCAGTACAATGACAAAGGAGGGTGAAACTAGCATGTTAACCCTCTTTCTCTTCCTCATGTGTAACACCTACGTTTTTTTATTTGATAGTCATAAGAAAATGCACAGGAATGTGCTTATTTTCCCCTCTACCATTTATTATGTACCTAGCGTTAAAAACAAGTGCCTTAACCCAACAGCAAGACTAGCTGACACAGCCAGAATCATAAAGAGAATTTGTGGCATAGGAGGGCATTGAACTGCCTCCCTAGCACCATAGTCCACTCAGGGCATTTCTTCTGACCTGAATGAGATGAGGATATCCCGTTTTATGAAGGATTTGTTGATTATCTGCTCATGGAAAGAAAAGGCAATGCTTCCTTGCCTGAAACTCCAACTCAGTCATGTCTCAGTGATCAAGAAATGCCACCACGCCAGGCCTAGAAACACATTGCCTACTGGCCTGCGAGGATTAATTAAATTACAATCAGACATTTTAATGGAAGGACTTTGGAGGCTGTTGTCTTGGCAACTGTTTTAAACAGCTGGTTTAATGATGGGTGGAGAAGGAGGTTGCTGGGAGAGCTGGGCTTGGGGACGGAGCAGCAATCTGCTTTCTTAAATGTGGCAGAGATGTTGAGCAGAGATGGGGCTTTTGGAATTAGTTTTGTCTTGTCTTACCCATCATGCAACACGGCACACTTATTTTCCTTTTGGATCTAAACCAACATTATAAATTATTATGATTGTCATTTGGGGGGGGGGGAAGGAAAGTGTTCTGTAAATGTTCTGATTCTCTCCTCGGTCCTTCTCGACTTCTCTCCTACCTTTCCCAGAAGCTCAGCCATCGCTAACATTTTCTTTTCATGCTTCAGCCATAGCTTGACAATTAGAAATTGAGTCACTGAACAGCAAGATGGGACAATGAGCGACAGCCAGGCAGGAGGCTGCAGCAGATGGCTCCTTTGTGACAAGCTCTCCCCCCTCGCAACAGCTCAGTCCCTGTCCCCATCCTCCTAGCATGGAATCTCATGCAAGTGCTTTGAAGCGCCCCTTCGCACACAGCGGTTTTCTGGCCAGCAAGTAACAGAATCTCTGTCAGTGAGTGCCACTGGCCCATCAGGCGGCTTCATGGAGCCCTTGGTTCACATGGCTGGTCTAATCTCCCAGCCTGATGGTTGCCAATGTTTGCAGCTTGGTGTTATGTAGACACCATGTTGTAATCAAATGGCTACTCAAATATGCAAATCCTGGTAGGGAAAAGACAATGTAATTTGTTTGTTTATCCCTCCCCCCTCTCTCCCCAAAGGCCATAAATGATTAACATTGGAAAAGAGACCCGGGTGTACTCAAAACAGTTCTGTTCCTGCTGTGTGCATAGGGGTCTGTTATAATCCAAGCAGAGTTTTCTTGCAGCAGGAGGGATTTGTATAATGAAGCCTAAAATATCACCCACACCAACAGGCCAGGAGGCCTTCGTACAGAACAAGCCAAATACCCTTCTGCTTCATTTGTTTATCAGCCAAGGACTATATTTTCATTTACTGGAGTCGGCAAACTTCAGGAGGTGACCCGTATTGGATAAAAATTTCAAACTTGTTTTTAGGTATTTCATTCTAGTGCCCAAGGTAGACAAATCCAAATGGCGCTCCTCACAATGGTTTTAAAAAAGACATAATAAATGAAATAGCTCACAATTCGCTGCTTGTAACAACACCTCAAAATCTTCTGCACAAGCTGGGCAGCCTCACAGGGCTGATCTAAATCACATTTTCATTACAGTGATACCTCGGGTTAAGTACTTAATTCCTTCCGGAGGTCCGTACTTAACCTGAAACTGTTCTTAACCTGAAGCACCACTTTGGTTAATGGGGCCTCCTGCTGCTGCCATGCCGCCGGAGCACGATTTCTGTTCTCAACCTGAAGCAAAGTTCTTAACCTGAAGCACTATTTCTGGATTAGCGGAGTATGTAACCTGAAGCGTATGTAACCTGAAGCATATGTAACCCAAGGTACCACTGTACTGATTTTAGGCAAATGCCTAGGTGTTGCTGATTGGTAAACCCGTGTCAAGGTTGTACTGTTTCATACTTTATGTGGGACTCACATGCTTGAATACTCCTTCATTTAACAACCGCCCCCCCCAAAAAAAACCCTTTAAGTGTTAGAGGGGAGACCTATGCTAGAATATTTCTCCCTGATGATCCACTTGTGTGGATGAACATTCAATAATGTGATAGCTCAGTTAGTTAGAGCATAGCGCTGATCCTGCCACGGTTGCAGGTTTGATCCCTGTAAGGGACAGCTGCATATTCCTGCATTGCAGGGGCTGGATTAGATGATCCTCAACTTCCTTTCCAACTCTATTATTCTATTTCTGCCAGCTAAAATAAAATATTGGGGGTGAGGGTGGCTTGTAAGCCCTGGCCCAAATAATTGCTCACAAGACACAGTGCACACACATGCCCATCAACTTGGGGAGGGGGGAAGCCCCCTCAAATATTCTATGGGGGGGGGACAAAGGAACTTAGGCCCCAGGAGTTGGCTGCTATGCTTCTGATCCCTATAGCCCAAGGTGGTGATAGCCCAGACACAGGTTTACCTCTTCAATGAGAATCATTAAAACAATGGGATGTAGGCTTCCGCTAACTAAATTTGAAAAGTCATTGTTCAAGTTTCTAACTATTACCAGCCTAAGCTGCAGTTATATATGTAATTGCTAACTCAGACTGTGGGCTGCTATGCCACTCAGTGTATGCCATGTATAACTGATGGAAGGTTTTTGCTCTTATGTAATAAAAATATTGTTTTATTTACTTTTATGTTTTGATACTAGAATTTGGGGCTTTTGAAACACTTTATTGCCTTGGAAGATGTTGCCTGTCACCTTGGAAGGCGATAGGCACAGACATGCATGGGTGGCAGTTAGGGTCCTCTTTCCAATGCTTATAAGTGAGAAATTAATAGTTGGGGTTTTTCAAAAAAAAGGGGGGATAGGTAAAGGTGCAGTAAAGTGTTGTTTTCAAATCTGGAGCCAATGTACAAAGGAATAATGAAAAATAACCTGGGAATTGGTGTTTAGAGCCCCTACCTACATTGTCTACTTTTCCATCCTCTCACGGTGAAGGTACATTAAGGGTAGAGAGCCCTAGGCCTGGGCCCCAAATACAGTCCTCCAGGCCCCTCTATCCTCACTGACAGCTATAGCTTCCAATCCATGCCAGAATCTTGCCCAACACTCTCCAGTAACGGTAACTGAAAAAAGCAATACTTTAACTGTGGCTAACAAAGAGTTATTCCCCTCATAAGTGACTACCGTGACTTCAAATTGCATTCACTTATGTGGGGGGAAATGCAAGAAGGTTATGGCTGTTTTGGTTTCCCAGTGCAAGTGAATGGGAGAAACACAATTTGAATTCAGGTCTGAATCGATCTGGATCAAATTGGTGCCCATTCTGAACTACTAAATCAGGTCCTGCATCAGATGAGAGGGGGTATTTGCAGAGGGAATAAAATACAAATAAAGTTCTGATGGTAACAGTTGCCATTCTCTCTCACACAAAGTTGTATAAATAATACAAACATTCTGGCATTGTTAAGCCAATTAACACACATAGCGTGATAAAATTAAATTTTGCTGATTCAGTCTGCAAGTGAGAACCTCTTGATGAATTGTAATTCAGCAGTTTCATATTGTAGTTTTGCTTTGAAATTCCTTTGTTCCAGTGTGGAACTATTTGTTCCAGAGCGTTCTGAAAGGTTGAAATGTTCTCCCACTGTTTTTATTAATATTGCTTTTGCTAATATTAGATTTGTTTCTGTTTGTTATTTAGTGTAGCAACTGGTCTATTTCTCCTATGTTGAACACATGAGGGCATTTTTGACAGGTATATAGAGTTATATAGAGATATAGATATACATATTTCACATTGGAAGATGAGCTGATGTTGTGTATGACATTATTCAGACCTGTAATAGTGTTGTCAGTGTAGACAAAGGGACAGAGTTGGCATCTGGGTATGCTGCAGGGTCTGGTTCCTGTATTCGTACCTCTGTTATGTGGCCTGTTGCTCACAAATTAAATGAAGAACTGTGTTTGAATGTCTATATTCTGTTTCAAAGGAATGCATGATCAAACAATGCATTCAGGTCAAGCCTGTGTTCTGCTGACATTTAGAAGTGACACACTTGCTTTTTCACTTGGTGAAATTGTATGAAGAATCAACACATAGTGGGGTGGGAATGAGCAAAATCAGTCAGCTTCCATATATTCATTTATTATGTACACATAAAGCTGGGACGGGAAATCTGTGGCCCTCCAGATGCTGCTGAACTACAGTTCCCATCATCCCTGACCATTGGCCATGCTGGCTGGGACTAGCTGAATTCCAATACCTGCAGAGCCAAAGGTTTCCCATCCCTGACAAAGGGCTTGCATGCATTCAAGTTGTATCTGCATAGACACAACTGGAACCTGAATAGTGGGGGCCCCAGTCATGAAGAAAGCCTATAAGCATCCAAGTATTCATTTATGCTCTGTGCACACAAGGTCAATGGACTTGTAGAGATTGGAGCAGGGACTCTCCTCTGTTTTCCTTTCCACTGTGTGTGCAATTTAACCATTGAATACCTAAAATGCATTCCAAATGTCGTTTGTGAATTCTTCACATCACTCTTATAATATGATTCCATTTGGATGTGCTGGGTATCAAACCAGCCACGTATTTACTTTCCATCGTATAGCCACTTGGTTAGGATCTGCCTGTATTTCTCCCTCACATTTAATGACAGTGATTTAACCTGCAGTATGTCTTTATTCCAGATCCGAGCAGATGGGCCTCCTCATGGTGGCATTCAGTATGAAATGGTGCCAGTTTTCAAGGACGGGAGTCATATCCTTCGTGACATGGCCTTCTCCACAGATCATAATTACCTCTATGTCATGTCAGAAAGACAGGTAAGCCTTGCTCTTTAAAACCACAGTAGGCTTTAAGGTTAGCCCCTCTGCAACGGGAAAGCCTTGCATATTCCAAAGGGCTCTTAACATTTGCTTCAGGTATGGATAGTGCCAAAGGTAGCTTTATTTTTATCTGAGTCTGGCCAGAGACAACTGTCAGTGCACCAAGGGAGGAGGAGTTTTCCTTCTCATCAGCACACTATTGTCTCTAAGAAATGGAAATTGGACAGTGCCACTATGAATGAAATATGGTTCGGAGATTTGGACTTCATTCTGCTATCAAATCCGATCCCTAGCAGAAGCCACTTCCATTCATTCCTCTCCTTGTGTTTGGCAGTAGGCTACTTTTACATAGAATTGCCCTTTGTTGTTTTATTCTTCTAGATTTCAAGGTTGTGTTTGTGTTTGCAAGAGGCTATGAAATCACAATATTGTGATTGGAGATAAAATGCGTGGCAGGTGGATAGTGTTCAAGTATGTGCAGGATACAGTTTTGTTACATGTGTCTTCTGTCCAGCCATATCCTGACCTTCCCTTCTTTAGTGTTAGAAAATATAGCAGTGGCAAGGATTCTGGATGGCACTTCTGAATGTTGTTAGTGTAACATACAAAGCATGTTTAGATTGAAAGTATTTTGAGACTTTGGTACTTTTTATTTAGAAATGTAGGAAATTCAGATACAGTCCCATGACCCAAATGATCAGCTTTACAATAAGTTTGAATGATTCTGTGATCCACCTCTAAACCTTTAAGAACTCATTGGCCTTGGCCTTTAAAATGTCTAGATATAACCAATGCATTCAATCTTTTGCTTTAAATTTCACCCACACAATGCAGTTATACACCTGGTTTTAAAGGGGCATGGCACTGTGGTCTAACCCACTGAGCCTCTTGGGCTTACCGGTCATAAGGTCAGCAGTTCAAAACCAAACGACAGGGTGAGCTCCCGTTGCTTTGTCCCAGCTCCTGCCAACCTAGCAGCTTGAAAGCATACCTGCATGAGTAGATAAATAGGTACTGCAATGGGGGAAAGGTAAACAATGTTTCTGTGCGCTTTGGCATTTGTCAAGGTGTTCTGTGCACCAGAAGCAGTTTATTCATGCTGGCCACATGACCCAGAAAAAGCTGTCTACAGACAAATACCGGCTCCCTTGGCCTGAAAGCGGAGATAGGTACTGCACCCCATAGTTGATTTTGACTGGACTTAACCATCCAGGGGTCCTTTACCTTTAACTTACCTATACCTGGTATTAGAGCAATCCATACCCCAATTCCCCACTGGCATGGCTTTGTGGGGCAGTGGGGCCACCACTGCATCCACAGCCCTGATGTTCATCATGGCTGCATCCAACAGCAATCCAGCCAATGTGCCTGCCACCCAGCAGCATGGTAGGCAGGTAGATGGGGGAGGTTGGCACAAGGAGAGCTGGATGGAAGGACACCTCTGCTCATTCCAAACCCACCCTCAGTAGGGAGGGTTTGGATTGCTCATTTAGTGCTACAACTGTGCTATCTTGGGATGGGCTGATGAGGGAGAGAAATTGTCTCTGAGTAGTTGCAAACAGGTTCTGTGATGGGGCTCAGATCTTATCCATTCACTACTCACTAGCTTGTTCAATAATTTTTCAATTCAGTCTGATAGGTTCAGTCTAAGACTTTACCCAAACTGGAAATAGTCACCATTTGATTGAAGACCATGGCAACATGTGCACAAATTCTACTGGAACTAGACTGTATCAATAGATGCAATCTAGATAGGAGGTTTCTTCTTAGTGTGATACCACTGTTGTCTTCACGGGTTTTTCTCTTTCTTATGATCAGGCACAATTTATCTGTGCTGTCCTCCATGAAGTGTCGCTTATAATTTTCTCTACTTCATAGTGATCCCTCTGCAGTGAATTCACAGTGTACATATCTCAGTTGCCCCAGGCTGTTTTGTCAGTAGTTCTCATTTATCACATTTACCCTACAGCCATTGGGAATAGATGTGGGTGGTGATCCACACAACACTTCAGCTGCTGAGCATGCACTTAAGACAGCACAATTCTACTTGGATGGTATTTAATGTGAGCATGCAATTGTATGAAATTGATGGTTTGCTCTGAACTTTCTTGATGCTCAAAACTCATTTTACTTGAGAGGAAACAGGAGAGTGACAAACTCCCTCTAAACCAAATTTTAAACAGTGAGCTGGTAGCTGAGTCACTGCTTCCCAGGTTGTGTCAGCTGTTCGATTCCCTGATATTTACTGTCTTCATGGTCCTTGCTCTGAACCTGTTTATGAGTATGATAAACTGTGCTTCTGAAAAAAGGAACCAGATTGTACCCGGCAACACCAAAATGATTA